TATTTGTGAATCGTAATTTTTTGATATATATATATAATATATACACTAATATTAATGTGTATACCTTTTTTCTGCAATCTCAACCAATTTAAATAAATGACCCTAATTTCGAAACAGAACCCTAGCCAAATGGGGGGAAGCTCTCTCCCAAATATCTCCTTCAGTTGGTTTTTTCAATTTGTGTAATTAATTAGGAAATATGGTAAAAATAGACGCGATTGTAGGTAAAACTGCGGACCTTAAAAGTAATATTGGTCTTTTGTTCGGTATGCACTTAACTTTCCGAACTTTCGCAGGTAGCAGAGATTACAGTATCACCAACAAATCAGACTTCTGGTCAATATTTCGAGTCAAATACTCCGTAGTAAGTCGGAGCATTTTATCGCATACACTAATACATCAATAGTGACTTGAGGGGATAATTCGTAAATCTGTTCTGGTAAGTAAAAATACTAAGATTTTTGTTCTAATAAGAAGCAAGCGCCTTGTAAGACATTGTTGAAAACGAACACTTCCGGCAAAAATTGATAACTGTGAATCCAATGCAGCGGGCTAGAAAAGAATTGTTAAGCGTTTAAGACAAAATTACAAACTTTATACAAGACAAACTCAAAATGGTTGTAAAACGTTTGAATTCAATATCATATATTCTCACAAATTCTTTAGATAAACAGAATATTGCAAGTGAAAACATACTGAAAAATTGATTCTGCTGTATCCACCTGATCACATGCCTGAGGCATAAGTGCTTCTTATGCAGTTCTTCTATGTAAAACCCCATAAAGGTAGCTGCTAAATATAAAATAGCTATTGCGGAAGCTATTCGTTTTTACCAACTAATACTTACAGCGAACTTTTCGGCGACTTCGAACGCAAAAAAAAATAGTTTACTTAAAATACTTAAAAATTTAACCAAATTGATCATTAAGGAGGAGACTTAATGCTCCAATGATGTTAAAAAGCAAAAAAGACCTTTGCGATCCTCTTAACCTACATAATACGGTGAATTTATGGGCAAAACTTAAACACAGGCGAATTCGAGTAAGCTAATACAAATTAAACTATTGTATTAAATACTGCTATTATTAATAACAATACTTTAAGAAAGTTTTTCGGATTCGATTTCCGGCGAGTGACAGCAGCAACAAAAATTTTTCCCTCGCTAACTTGAGATAATCTGTAGTGAGATGAAAATAAGTTGATTTAACATTAATGTTTTGATAATTATTTTTTGTTTATAAATGCATATTTTTGCGCGTGTGTAAAATATTAGTTGATTAATTCGGTTGCTCCCCTCCTCTTCAAAACAGAATGCTTCGCCAGGGTACCTTTTCGTAAATACGGGACGATAAGCCAAATTCAGGTTTTTCTCCGGGAGGCAGAAACTCACTCTACGCCACTATATAATGATAATTCCCAGTTCAGTGCAGGGTACAATTTACTAAGACATTTGTCTCATTACAGAAAATATATTTTGTCCATAACGTCATACAAGGGTATAGACCACGAGAAAAAAAAATTAATACCAGCCGGTTGAAATTTGGCAAAGGGCTTCATTTTTACGTGTCCTACAACGTTTTCCTCTTACGAAAATTTTTGGTAAAGCAGCGTTTTCAAGCTTTCGGCTGTCAAACATATACAAATGGCTATGTATTGAAAAAGTATAACCCATTTTTTTTGCAGTTTAATGAAAAGATAATTAAATCCAATAATCGAAAATTTGTATCCTACAAAATTGATGTGTTTCTAGCAGAATTGTTAATTATTTACCCATAGAACAAAATACTCATACTGTCCTACAAATATTATGCGCCTTGTTTTTAATCCTGCATTCATAAGTTGTGGATTTTATGAGCACTTGTTCTACGTCAAGTTTATTCACGATACATAGTGGCCTAGCATAAGCAATTGCTATTAACATAATGCGGGATTTCCGTTACGCGATGTTCACACATTATAAACGTACAATTACAAACAAATGAAACTACCCATAAATAAATATCATTTACTTATTAGTGAACGTAAAATGCTGTACACAAGCACATATTTTCATTCACATATCCGTGCCAGATTTACAGATCAATAAAAAAGTCGATATTATTTTAATTAAACCACCACTATTGCAGAATTATAATATTTTTAAATTAATCTAAATGTTCTTCACGGTATTTTTTTAAGGATGGGCTCTCCAAGTGTTGCGGTTACGAGTCCACATGAGCAAGTGGTCATAGAAGGGCGGAGTCCAATTTAGTAATCGGACACCGCCTACTCCAATCGCGTTAAGTCGTCTTCTTGTGCTTGTTATATTAAGTAATCACTTTTGATATAATGTTCAATAACTATCCAAATCAAATTCTTCTCCGTTTTCATACTCCTCCAGCTGCATACTCTGAAAGTCCACCTTGTACCGTAACAAACCTGTAAAATAACGTCTTTGTAACAATACATACTTTGACAATTCCAGTTTCCTACTTTCATGCAATCTTTAATTCTACCCACATTTATTTACGTATAATAAACGATTAGGGAATTAAAAATAATCATTCTTTTGTAAAATGTTCATAACATCATGTCTCGTTAACGTTTATAAATAAATATGTATCTAAAGATAAACTTTGGATTTAATATCTAAGTACCCAATATATTCAGGAATTTATTAAGAATCGCGTAATGAATAATAATTTTGTACTTGCTAATAATTTAAACAGTGGAAGCAATTAATGCAAAACAAATAAAAGTTTTTTTGTCATCCATGTACAAGGTGGCCCAAAAAAGCAGGCAATATGCTCATTGTGGCTAAACTAAACTGAATCGAAAAATTTTTCAATATTTTAATATGACAATGCATCTAACATCTTAATTTAATTTAGTATACAGAATGTTAAAAAATAGGAAAATGGTTTCCTTTAAATGGCAGTACTTTTAAATATGAGTCCAATCAAAAATAATTGTTCGGAAGCCAAAATATATACGGGGCTATGCAATATCGCCGCGATTTTTGTACAGTCCCATATTTTGACAATCAAAACAAATTTTTTTATACCTACTCTTTTTCAATTGGACTCATATTTAACTGTGCTACCAATTAAAGGAAACCTTTTTTCAATTTTTGAACACTGTATAGTAAATTAACTTAAGATGTTACATGTGATTTCGTAGACGGAGTAAATTCTGTATATTTTTCGATTAAGCTTATAGTTTGGGCAGTATAAACTTACTGCAAATCTTTTGGGCCATTTGACTAGAAAAAAAAATTGAATATTGCGAATTTTTGTTTAGCCCCATATTTTGGCATTCTGAACAACTTTTTCTTTAACTTTTTTTGATTGGATCCATATTTAACAATGCTACTATTTAATCGAATTATTTTTTCTATTTTGAATACTCCGTGTAGTAATATACAAGCGAACAAGTTTTTGTTTTAAAATTTTTTCGATTAAATTTACAGTTTGACCACAATGTGTACTTTTTGAGTCACCCTGTATGTAAAACAAAATAAAAAATACCAACGGTTAAATAAAAAATCACACACTTAAATTTGATTATACACACGATAATTGTAAAACAAAATTACATTTCTGCTAAAAATTTACCTTACAATGCAAAAAATAATTATTTTGGAACTCACAAGAAAATTAGAACTTATAAGAAAAGCAAAATAACTCTTTCCGAATCTTATTAGATTAAAAAAGCAAATTGACCGACTAAAAAGAGCGAGGTATCTGATAACGTAACAGAATCTTAAGCAGTAAGCACCTCTACTAAATTAAAAACGATAAAATTAACGAAGAAAAATCCTACATAAATACTCATACATAGGATAAAGAACACAAATAATAAAAAAAGCATATAACCAAAACCGAGAATAATCTAAACCAAAAAAGGAGAAAATACGTGGTGGCATATAGACAACTTTAGATACGCAACAGTAAAGCCTAGCTTACAAGAATACCTGAGGCGCAGGTGGAGCACTGGCGCTGTAGACCTTTTTAAAGAGAATTAAAAACTTAATAATCGTCAAGGTCCACATCGTCCAGCGGCTCGTCCGCTTGTAGAGATTGAAAGTCCACTTTGTAGCGCAGGATACCTGAGTATGTCCAGGCCGCATTGCAAACAACAAATTAATCGACAGAGTTAGTCTTCCTTTTTTTCCTTCTTACATACAAAACATTGACTATGACGTACAAAAACACACAATACACATATAAAATGTGCAACAAAAAGATTGCAAGCGGAAACTTACGTATGTACAAATAATCACACACTCGCGTAAAATTCATAAACTACCAAAGCGTAATTTATTATATGTAGAATATATTACTAAAAATTTGTCAAGTGACAATATGCTACAAAACAGCTTTTGTAGATTATTTAGTTTTAGTAATTGGTTTTGTTAAAAAAATTCTTTTTATTACTGGACTTTTCAAGTATTTTTACTTAAAGAATGTTTGTCTTGCAAAAATTAATAAATATGGAGCAATGTTACTCAACATGCATTATAAAAATTTATGTATATATATGTATA